TTTGATTTTCTAAACCCGTATTGTGAGACTGAAAACGCTACGTGTTTCCTGAGAACATTTTCCATTCGCGTATAGAAAAGCCTCTCTAGTATTTTAGAGGAACCTGACAGAAGAGAAATTGGTCGGTAATTTTGAATTTCATTTCTGCTCCCTTTTTTTAAAAAGTGACTTTATTTTTGCTGTTTTGAAAATATCTGAAAATATTCCTGTGCATAAAGAAGCATGGTAAATGTGAGTTAATGGGTGTAAAAAAGGCAGGTATACAAGTTTTCAATAAACAATCCAGAAATTCATCTAAACCAGATGAATATTTATTTTTTAGTTTACTGACTATTCGTAAGATTTCGTTAGAAGAAGTTTTGGAAATAAAAATCAGATCGAAATTTTTTTGGGAGGGTAATGATGTAGAGTTTGATGTTTTTAGTTCCTTTGTGAGTTCAGCCGCAATTCTAGAAAAGTGTTGGTTGAAGAGATTTGCCACTTTTTTCCGGACTACTGGATTGTTTACGATATTCCACATTGCTTTAGTTTTGTTACTAGCGTTTAAAATATCATGAATTTTTTTCATTATTTTTACCTGAACTATTACTTTTCTTAAGATTCTTTTGTATTCTCGGATGTAGACATGGAAACCGGGTGATACTTTATAGTGTTTAGAAATAAAGTAATACTAGGGTTGCCATCTCTCCGGTTTTAGACCGGAGACTCCGGTTTTTGAGCTTCATCTCCGGTCTCCGGTTTTTGAAAAATTATCTCCGTTTTTTTTTTCAATTTCAATACATTTTCAAATTTTTTACAAAATAAATAGATTTTTCAACTTAAAATTTAAAGCTTTTTCTATTTCATCATAAATCTGTCCTTTCCTTCTTCATTAGAAAGATAAAGAGCAGAACATGAAAATTGGTCTTGCGATTCTCGTGTTATCGCCATCCGCTGTCTCTTTCTTTCTATGCATATCAGACAGAGACAGCATCTAGCGATTATGCGAGAATCGCATCGCGCAACAGTTTCAAGAATAATCCCCCGGGAATGCTATTCGATATCTTCATTTTGAACAAGATCGAATTTTCGTTCGTTTTTCTCAAAAAATTATTTTTTGGAAGCATTAAGATAAAGGTACATTTGTGATTCATGGGAACTACACGTCATGTATTACTTGTGCAAAAACTAAGAAAAAACGAATTTCATTTCATTGGTTTTCTTAAAAAACCTGAGCAAATATCTCTGCTAAAAAAAGCTCTGAGCAACGAAAAGTATAACTGGAAAAAGTAGAATGTTAGCAAAGTGTTTTTGAATAAATGTTTATTATTATAGACCACAGAAACCAAGATATTAAGACTATATTTAAGAAATAAATAAAAGTCTGCGTCAATTTCTTTTTACATTTCAGTCCCCCCCGGTCGCAGCGGTCTCCGGTTTTCTGGAATTGGCAAGGTGGCAACCCTAAAGTAGTACGTACGTGTGGTTTTACATGATGTTCTTATACATTGTGTGATCCAAGTATTATTTTTCTGTGAAATATTTAATTTTCTCATTTTGAGAGGTAAGCATGCGTTGAAGTGAAATGAAAGTTATGAGAAAAATAGATTATATTTCTCATTTGTGTCAATAGCGTTATAAACTGTGTCCCATGATTCCTTCAGCAAGTAGTCCAGAAATAATTTCATGTTAACATTAGTGAATGCCCTGCACATGCCTGAATAATTTGTGTCAGTGTTCGTGTTATTAGTAATTGTAAAAATGTGTGCATCATGGTCACTGTAACCTAGAACAGTAGTTTTTTTTTTTTAATTTCATATCTAGTTGTGGTGTTGTTAATTATAATTTGACCTATTGCTTTTTGTGATGTAAATTTATTCCTTGTAGGTACATTCACTGTAATATCTGAATTAAAAGAATGCAGTAAATTGAGAAACTGCTCTTTTTCGTAGGATTCGCTCAGAAAATAAATATTGAAATCTCCACATTTAACAATGGATTTAAAAGATAGATTACTAATTTTATTCAGAGTTATCCCTAGATTTTCTAAGAAAATGGTATTATCTAAAGCTAATTTTGTTGAAGGTCTGTAAATGCAAAGTAAGATCGTTTTGAGCGTAGTAAGATGTACGACTGTTATTTCAAAAACTTTTCCAACTGCATATAAATTGAATTCTGACAAGAAGATAGAATCAATATAATGTCTTATAATTTCTACTTATCAGTCTTCATAATATGATATCTCAATTGGTTTGAGCACATGTTACCGCTCAGGGAGTGGCTGAAATTGCAGATTGAGTGTAGTGTACGATGGGAAAGCTTGATATGTCACAAACCACGTGCAAACAACAATATACAAGTGGGATTCGAAGCCATCGGACACACATCACTATTGCACGCCCCCCTTATCGCTCTCATTTGTCTAATACTAATGAAAGTTACTATTGTTGGGTTGCAATGAAAATTCATACGTGGAAGTGCATCATATTCTCTTTAATTTTAACCACAATCGTAATATTACTATTATTAATCTTTTAAAAAACTCCCTAGCAATCGACTAGTTCGCCGCAACGAGCAGATTACAGTTCATGAGAACTGTTTAACAGTCGCATACCAATGGGTTGTCAGTAACTGATCCTAGCGCAGTTCATTGCTTATTATCATTTACGTAAAGAGTTACTGTTTTATAGCCGAGGACTTTTATTATTAGATCCTTTCCTAACTCTAAGAGAAAGATTTGTCTATCAAAGCTATTCGAATGTTTACAAACCATTTCGTCACCATGCGCAATCACTTCGTGAAAACTCCACCGTTCTGTTAGAGCCCATAAACACGTTTGTCAAACTTGCTTTAGTATCTGTTGACGTAGAGAACAGTTTCCTTAAAAAATGGCTCGGCCATCTGTGTCCTCATGGAAAGACCAGCAAATACATAAAATACATATAGCACTTCATTTATAAAATATTAGGTCCTGAAACGTGTCCCAAACTAATTATTCATTTAATACAAATAGTTATATATTTATAACATAATTTAATAATTATAAATCATACCAGCCTTGTATAATAATTATAAATCAACAGTTAGAGTCAGTGCTACTATGTGAATGTAATTGTAATAGAAAATAAAATATTGTTTATAATGATATTTTATCGTTTTTAATATTTTTTATTATACTCCAAGAACTGGGATGACTAAGTGGAGAGTTATTTATTTTTCTCTTTTAAAAAGTTCGTTGAACTAAAAATCAAAGTTGTCATGTGTTTCTCTGTTGCCTCAAAAACTGTAACCGTTATTAACGTCATTAGCGCAATAAACTTCAGATAACCAACCAAGTATGTTATTTCTGATATCGGCCGTGTGACGTTCAATACTTTTCGCAATACTATCTTCTTATCATAAAAAATAATATAAATAAGAAATACTTTTGCTTTTAATACGTAGGAGTGCGACGCCATCTTTCATTTCAAATCGATAAGATTGTTGCTTCAGACGCGACAGTTACAAGAAGGCCAAGATTTTATCGTAAGAACATATTTCAAATTTTCTACTGGAAGAAAATGGCTACTTACAAATATTATTGTAATTTTTGGTGTTTTTAGGGAATGTCGAGGATATGAACCTGTGTCATTGACTATTGACGATATAGAAATCACGTCAAAGGAGTGCTAGTTTCAGAGAATTGCACAAAAAATTGAATGTTTATAATTCCCAACGAGCTAGAATATACTAGAGTGGCTGAAGCGCCTTCATGTTTTTTGCTGTCAAAGCAGTGCCCTCTGAGAAACAAAGTACTCTATACTGCGATTTATGCAACTGCCGTGGCAGGTCGCAGTTGTTCACGGTTTCATCCAACCGGGAGCTTGAACGTCACAGTAGTCACGTCACTATGGTGACCTTTATGCTTCCGATTGGGTGAAACTATCAACAGCTGATACCTGGCAGAGGCAGAATTGCGAAAATCGCAGTCTAACATTATGTGTGGCGCTGGTTACGGACGGTTACACCGCCACTCGTACGTTTTGACTTCAATAAACATGGCGGCCATTAGTTCGGCGAGCCTCCCCCAAGAGCGCTGAAACTTTAGGGACAGCCACTACCTAGTATATTCTAGTTCGTTGGTAATACTCAAAGACTGTCTTCCATTCAATGCATATGATTTGTATAAAAAATATGTTAACAATCTAACCTACAAACGAAACTCTTTTTCGTAGATTATAGGAATGGAAAATGCACTAAACAAGTTGTGTGAATACATACAATAGGAGACACTCCAAAAAAACAGCAGAATTTTTAAAATTAGACTCTCTTGATCAAGGCCACATTTATTTCATCAAGGCCATCATTATTTTCAACGATCATCGGCCACAATGATAGTTGTAAACTGTGGCGATCTGCTTTCGTTGAAAGAACTTGGAGGTTGAGAGTCCTGGTCAGTAATAGAAAATTATATTGAACAATCGGTATCGAAAAGATTTAAAATTCTTAATTATTCAGCACCGACTAGGTTGCATCAACATCAAGAGATTCAAGCATGTCGACGTCAGCACCTTTGACCTTTTATGAAGATTAGAAATTAGCAATAATAATAATAATTATTCAATATTCAGATTTACTATAATGACAAATTGTAAGTCAAAAATAAGAATACTATAATTGAACAGTTGAAAATTACTTTCGTACGTATTATTTATGTAGTGTGTTACTTATATTGTTTATTATCTGTTTTCAAGTTTAATAAATTGTTTGAATATGATTTGGCTCCTTAACGACGGGCGGTCATTAATTTCTTAGTGGCCGGCGGCCATTATAATACTTTTTCATTCCTGTGTGAGGTTGCGTTATGTAGATACATTAACGGATAGTATTACGAAAATATTTTAACACAGATTTGAAGAAAACGTATTAAAAAGTTTTTAAATGCATGCTTCATTACCCCTTAAAAATATTATTTGTCCTTTAATTATTTTGCAATTTATACTGAGGCCCGTCGTCCTCCCTGGTGTTCTCGCTGCCCAGGAATGACTTTGGTATGTGAAGCTCTAAGGAAATATCACTCGCGTGGTACATCCGCATAGATGAATAGTGGATTGCATAGGTCTCAGGAGCTTCGTGCGAAGTATCTGCAACAAAGCGATCCGTACCTCCATCCCAATCCACTACTTCGAAATAATATTCATTCACGATAACACTCATATCTTTATTTTCTAGAGAAATGTGCTAACACTGAAAATGAAATGATGCAAATATTCTTTGCGTAACAGATTGAGACCGCACCGTTAGATATTCTGGACACATACCATGTGATATCCCTTTAAACAACTAATACATAACTGAGTTATAATAAAACATTGGATGAATAAGATAAGGATATGAAAAGGAATTTCTAGGGTGCGGTTTCCGGTGGAGTCAAATGTTGCACTCCATGAAGGTCGATTTTCAGGAGTTGAAAATACTATTTACTGTAATTGTTTTTATAAAATAGTACGGCCTTACATTTTCTACTCCGAACATAAATTCAATTACGTTATATAATACTAAAATTAAACAGTTTAATTAGTCGAATTCCTATTTCCTCCGTCATAGCAACTAATTTTCTTAAGTGAAAAATTAAAAGAAACACAAAGTATAACTTGCTAATTCGCATGTCAAGGCAATCATTGTTTGTCTGCATTACTTTGTTCTGTTTGTTGTTTCTATAGCTCGTGTGTGTTTTGCAGGCACGGCGGGTCCCCATGTGGCAAAGGACAGTGCGGAGCAAGGCAGCCGAGTGCAAGAACATTACCAACGCTTCAGACAGTAAGTGCGAGACCGCCCTGCCCAACGACCTTGCACAGAGAACCACGACTTTTTCTTATTTCTCTCACTGAGATCATGCAAGAGTTAGTATTTAATGAAACTTGTGATAAACTTGTAAATTAAAATTTTAAAAGATTGAAAATTATTATTCTAAAAAATTGTAAACTCTTAGTAGATGACAATTAGAGTACCGTGTGGTAAGCGCCCGATGTTGTGATTATATATTATGATTTCATTTGGGTAAATGTGTAATAAACCTGACAGTGCACTTTTTAAGTCGACGTGTGGGCAAATGAACGATAAAATTATAATAAAACACCACTGTCTTGTTTACTGACCTAACTGCACGCAACGCCCACAACCTCTTTGAGACAAGCGCAGATTCTGTGGAATCAGACATACTGGTTCGACTGTAGTTCAGTGGACCTTGACTCCACTAATAGTTCAGTATCATTTATTCATCTTCCAAATCATAAATCTAAATAGACATGAAATGATCCATAAATCGATATTGCAGAGTGCATATGAACAAATTAGAGTATATACGAGTATAAACATTTCTGAGTGATTCAACTGATATTTCTTATTAAATTTCAAAAATATTATTTCTATTAAAATTAATTATTAGTAATAGGAATAAAACACGATATCTTGCAACTTAGCGTACACTGAAGTCCATACAACGCACACATTTGAACCTATACGCAACGTGAATTTGACTCTTAACAAAGTGTCTGAGAATAAATGTTACGTACTTCTAGGCCGTGTAAAGGGCTCGAAAATAATAACTTTTTGTAAATAAGATTTCCGATAGGAACAGTACATACAAGTAAATACAAGTACATACTTGTAAAATCGCTTTGATTGTGTGAATACGGTTTTGCCTAAAAATCAGGGGCAAATTCACCCTGTTTGATTGTTTATATCTCCGTTGTATGAAATTTCAAGCATGATAAGATGAAACTAGTGCTCTGCCACGAAATAGAGTGACAGAAAAGAGCTCTTCTTCCGCTTTGGTCAGAGACCCAAAAACTAACCGTTTTTTATCACGCTCTAGCGCCTAAATAGTTTTTCAAAAAATTAAAGGTAAAATATGAATTTTGTAGGAAGTTGTATCGACTTTAATTTTGTAAAAAATTATAGTTTCACTAAAACTTCTGGTTTTGAAAATATAAAAGAAAAACGGTAACAGTTTTACGATTTGTGGCATTTTCTCTGTGAAGCCGGCCAATTTTGAGGTGATAAACGTCAAATTCAAATTCATCATCCTCAAAAACAGAACCGTTGAGAAAATAACGCCCGGAATTGTTGGCTGGAGTGACCCTCTTGAGCGCCAATTTACCGGACTATAAAGAGTCGTGCCAGAAGAAAACAGTTTTACAAAAAAATGTTGATCAATGCAGTACACGAGTTCGAAAGGTTGAATATGTCGAGCGAGTTGTTGTGTCTTAACTTTATAATGCTCTAACTATATAAAACCATATTTACACAGAAGACATTAAAGGCACAATATTACGGTTCTAACTAAATATACTGTTGAATACACTTACCTCGTTTTAAGCATGCACATGAATTGTAGAGCATAAATGAAACCCAGGCTATCAAAGTGTAAAAATTTGCATTTTGCACTGAAAATCGTAGTATCTACTGCAATGCGGTGTTAAATGGGCTATCTGAAATTCTCATTCTTAGGAGTTCAAGTTGTCGCCACTAGACTTCGCATGAGACAATTCCCATATGTAGTGTAATAAAAACAAGCTAAGTGTTTATGGCCAACGTGTTTAGAGCATTGATAAGTATATTTATGATTTAATATTTAAAATGTGTGATACAGTGTAATGAGAGAAAATAGTGTAGGATGGGAGAAGGAACTGAGAAGAACCTGAAGAAGAAATTGAGTTGTGAAGTAAAATCGTATGACCAGCCCTGAAGAAGGCCACGACAAGATGGTCAAAACGTCGGCAACACAGCTTCGACGCGGCGTCACCCGGACAACCAAGATCATGCAAATGACTGTGGCTGCGGAAGCCTACGACTTGAAATTTAAAAAAAGATGGTAAAAAAGCGGGCTGGCGAGGCGCATTTTGACTCCAATGCCGTAACAAGCATCGAAATAAGATTTTATGAATCATGACTTATCCCAGCTTACTTGGTAAGTTATTTGGTATAGAAAATAATATGACATATTTGTAATCTTCTAACTACTAGCTGTCCAAATATATTGCCGCCCAAGTATCCATAGACAAAAGAGAAGCATCATACAAAAATAAGAAAACAAATAAGCAATAAGTGAATCATACCATCAATGTGAATTTTTTTATCTATACAATATGGCCTTTTCTTACGGGAGTACTCAAGGCTGCCCCGCCGCGCTTCAAATCCTTCTTTTTAATTGATATCACAGTTCGAACAGATACTTCAGTAAGTTTACTACGCGAAATATTGCTGTGTGTGCAGCGTGTGATGAAGAATGCCCCAATTATTTTCTTCGTCGTCACATTTCTAATAACGAGACGTATAATTTCCCTAGCCTTAACTGTGTATTGTTGTGCCTTTACTACGACAAAAGCGTATCCGTCCCACCAAAAGTCAGAAACCAAATTAAAATGAATACGCTATACATGATTACACAATGAGTAAAACACATTGAAGCAAACAACAATGCTTACACATTGAGTTCGTGTCTTCTCAGAACAAGAAAACATTCTATATCAGATATGAAGTGATATTGAACCTCATACAATGTCAGTCAAGCAGATATACTATTTCCTCGACCTCTGGCGTAGGCGGCAAATGTCAAAAACACGTCAATATGCGAATAATTACACTGTAGGTTCCTTCGCGAATTCTTTAGTTCACCTCGGTATGTTACGACAGATACAGTAATACTTTAAATATGTGGTTTATTAAAGCTTTTGGAAATATATTTTAATTTTGTAATGTTATTGAATTTCCCCCTCACTATTCAAGAACATTATTGCAAATTGCCCGCCTGCGAAAAAGAATGAGGCGTCCAAAAATCGTTACACTAGTGCGAACACTTTTCAGGTTGTTCAACGGTCAAAAGTAATTTGTTGAGACCGCAAAGTGTGAAAGTGGCTTTTAGATTGTACGTATACTCAGTACTAAAAACTTGGACTTTATAGAGAGATACTGCACAATAATTCAAGTACAAAATGGCCAATGAATTGAGTGTTTGGTAAACATTTCTTTCAATAATATTTTTAGACACTCCAAAATCACTACGAAAATCAGAATTCCAACGTTGGTTTGCATCAGAATCGCTTACCACACCACCAACAAAAAAAAATCTCTGCCGTTCATCTCGGAAAGACGAAAAGGAGGATTGTTGCCTTCTTAATCGCATGACTTGGAAAATCGGAGACGGAAGACGGAAATATGTGAAAAATATAGTTATGTAAACTATTACAGACCGTTTACCTCAGTTCAGTATAGATCTCTAATGGTTGTATCTGTGGTAAAATAGACAGATGCAAAGAGGACGAAGCCGAAACCGACTTCTGGCTTGCGATATCCCGCAAAGTCCCGCCTGCCTACGCCGGGGGCTGGCCGCACGCCGCCTGCCTGGTCGTGCCCCCGCCCGACAGAGGGCCCACAACTATCGGGTGGGTGACTCAAACGGTGAAGGAAAGGGGGAGGGGGGCGGAGGTTCTTTTCTCGTAATTCACTTTACGACCGCTCCGTATTTCGTCCGATTGCATGATTGTCACCGGCGTTGAATTTCAGGAAAGCATGTCGCCAATCGCGCCTATAAACCCCACATTTTTAATTTTTTTCTCAGAAATGAGACAATTTCATAATTCGAGATTTTGCCTAGATTTTTGGAAAAAAGACTTCGTAAGCGTAAATTCTATTTTAAAAAGGCCGTCAAATGCCGTCTACAGGTCGAAAATCGGACCATTGGTTTCACGACGTTATCGGCTAAAGTAAATTCCCTTGTGATAGTGCTGCGATCTATTGAATTTTCCTACAAGTATTTTTCGGTGCATTTAGCCTTAAGAAGTCTATGATGTTAGTGATGAAGTGATTTTTGTTTCTATAAGTTTCATGTTTGTATGAGTTAAGCAATTAAATTAATATCAATCATATATATTTTATTATACCTCGCTGTAAGTTTACCATTCCATTTCTTAGTATATCATTGCAGTTAACTAACTACTCTCTTGACCCGTTATTTGGTGTTGGAATTGACACATTTATATCTAGATGTTTGGACTTACCCTTTGTCAAAACATTTTAACTTCAAAAATTGTTTTCAAGTAAATATACATTACTGCAAATTTTGTTTATACCAAAAAACATTTATTTACATACGAAAAAATTCTCACAAAAATATAACTGCACAAAAATTGTTCGTTTACTTTTGAAACAGGTTTTTTCTTAATTATCTCGGAATTCCATCTGTGGCACAGCGCGGTTTTCACTTACTATCTACAATTATGATAGTTCTCAACTTTGTATTTCTTTGAAATATACGTCAGATATGAGCAGTTGACATGATACCGATTCGTATATCGACATCGCTCTTCGCAGTAAAATAGTGCAATGTAACTTCGGATGAAATCTGTTCCACTTCGAATGCGGGGAATTCCCTGCCGTCAAGAGAGGCGGGAGCTCTGTGCGTCTAATACGCAGTGATGTTTTGAAGGTTGTTATCCGATTCCTTCTTGCCTAGAAATACATATGTTCCAGGTGTCTCAAGGGAACCTGTTTGTGAGGACACATGCAGTAGAAATATATTCGTAGCGAGGGATTAGTTTGCGACTCTGTACTCAAAGATGGATTCGAAGAAGGGGCAAGTAATTTCGCTACACTCTTCTGTCTCAAATACACTTTTTAAAAGCAACAGAGTGAATTTTATGCTATGATTATTTTCGAATGTCTAAATATTTTAACATAAATATCAACGCTGGATCCAAATATAAATTATTCAAAATCTCTCCCCGCAAGTGACAAAACCTTGAACAAAGAATTTTCCAGCAAGTAGTACCTTTTCTACAAATATTTTCTATAAAGTTTTAAATCTCTTTTATTATAAATATATGTTATGAATATAGTAATAGATAATATCAGTCGGCTTGTATTAATATGAATTAATATCTTCTTAACTTTCAATTTTATTCAGCGCAAACCTTAACCTCAATTTTTTTAATCTAAGTTCAAGTCCTTTCTTTGCTGGTGCAATTTCAAGTGTCATTCCTTTACATTTTTTTCTTTGCAGGGGATGTTGCGGCCGTAAAGAGTTATTATCGCCATTTATCCGAAAACGCTAAGGTACGTGATTCTCTAACCATTCATATCTAGACATTAGAGTATCAGAAATTTCAGTAAACCGCACAAAAATAATCAATACGTTACTAGCATCAAAGTTCAGTGATATTAATTACTAACATAATTGTTAGTAATTAATACAGAGAGTCTCTGAGGAACAGAGCCGTAAAAGATAAAATAAAAAAATGAGTAAAAAATGAAAAAAATGAATAACTTGCTCTCGTAGCCGTATTCTTTGACGAGAATTAGTGCAGTTTCGTACTAATTAATTAGTTGGCTCCACTTATTATTTTATAGAAATATATTGATGGCTCAGAATAAATGTTACAGACTTCTATGGCATACAGAGGGGTTTAAAATGATCAATTGTTGCCAATATACAGGTACGTGGAAATTTCTTACAGCGCAGTTTTACATGTGACACTTTCCCCTGATCTTTAGGCAACTTCTTATGCATAGATATTCGGCAGTTGGCGTTTTGACGCCTCAAGAAAATTTCATGTACCTGCCAAACGTCTGTGCATACGGTCTGTCTAACAATTAGGGGCAAATGCCAATGCATGTATGCTTATCATTCCTTTATATACAATTTCCCTCTCTACATGTTCATTGCAAAAATACTCACCATTGTGACCACCCTACATGCCCTAGACATTTGCAACATTTGATTTGAAAAATGCTGTATATTAAACAGAGTGAATCTGAAGACATAATATCTGATTTATCAATTTTTTTATGAATGTGTTGGTTCTTACCACTAAACTGTGAACTCTACAAACGTGCATTGTCTGTGTTGCTTCTATTCATTATGCCTGCATTTGATTTTTGTGTAATGGATCTATAATGCAGAGACTGTCACTGACTGACTACAATGGCGTTTTTCTGTTGCAGTGCTTGTTGAAGTGTGTGTACGAACAACTAGGTATCATTCGTGACAATCACTTCATTGATCAAAAGGAGGGACTTCAATTATTTCATCAGTACTTTGCCCATGATAAAATGACACTAAAACTTGGAATGTTAGTGGTGGGCAAATGTTTAGCGCGAGGTAAGAAAATATTGTCAACTTGATATAAAGAAAATTATTTAATATTACTATGAAATCATTTGAAAATAAATTTAATTGAATGCAACAACTAATTCAAAAAGCTGGGTGGTAAGAAAATATTTTCTAATGTGTACTCATTGACATTAAATTAACATATTTAATACACTTGATAATACAATATTCATACATTTTGTACTAAGCAATTCCTAGAAAACTTACAAGTGATCGGATGTCAGACAAAATACTTTATTTTTAGTGATCTCACAAAAGTGCCTTAATATATGTTAATAGAGAGGTATTAGTGTTGTGTACAGCTAAGATAATTTTGCCTCGGGCTATCTGTTTTCTTGAGTATGCTTATATCTATATATGCCTATTACACTGATTTGCTCCATTAACTTTATAATCTGATTATGCCTTTCACTGGTTTTGATTTGATTTATTTAGCCAAAAAACAATAGAAAACTCTATGTGACGTATGGGGGAAGAAACCAACTGCGCACGTTTTCTTGAGTTCTAGAACCCATTCCCAATATTTCAACTATAAATAGTTGAGATGTGAATAAAAGTTTAAATAATAATAATAAATTGAAAAAACCTGATTCAGTTGATAGAAACATTTGTAGAAACTATACATTTCGTTTCCGAGTTATAGAAAACTTAATTGCATGGCCTAACAGATGCAAAAGGTCAAAACATGTTCAACAAAACCTGCGCATATTGTAGCTACATTTACGTCCAAAAGCAAATCAAGGGGCCATCTCAGCATTTGCTCAGTGAATTAGGAAAATGTTGGTCAATGACATTTTAAAGATTTCAATATTTTACAATATTTTCAATGTTTTACGAGTAAAATATGTTAAAACAATATTCATGTTTTCAACAATTTCAACGTTTTCCAACATTTTCAATATTTACAAAAATTCAATGTTATTCATTGATTTCGATCTTTTTCAACAATTTCAATGTTTTTACTTATTTTCATGCTGTTATCATATACAATATATTTCAGTATTTCCTAAATAAATATACGAATTGATTAAAGCAGTTCTATACGAGTAATTTATTTTGCCTTTGTTTCCCACATTCAATGCCCAATAACAAATAGCGATCTTTGAGAGCGGGGGTCTCTCTTTGCGTTACGGAAAACATGTTTATAAAGATGTAGAAACATATTTAAAAATAATCCAGTCAATATAACTTTTCACAGTATGGATAAATGAGGTGCTGTATTATCAGTGAGGTAGGAATCATCCGTGGTATCCCACGGGAGGTGGTGACAAATCACATGTAATTAACCTCGGCTATGAGCTAGCTCACTACACCCTTTGATGACACACGCTAATTTAGGCTGATAACTGCCCCTGACTCTCTCTAATTGAATCAACCTCTAGAATGGGTTTTACGCCCGAAAGTGTGGATATTTACCGCTCTGGCAACAGGCAGTAACTTACTATTTATCTCTTTCAAGTGGAAATCTAGTTGTAAAACCTCTTTCATTAAGGGCATTTAGTCATGGTAAAGCTTTTGTAAAGAAGAAGAAGGAGCTGATTATTTTATTTACCTGTATTATATTTTTTGTTTAACGCAATGATTCTAGGATTCATTCTGATCTCATATCTTTTTATCGTCTTATTCCTTTCATTTAAAATTGTAAATTCATTACGATATACTCGAGAATTGCCGCTTTAACGGTTTCCCTGGTTTTGGGGTTAAATATGAAGGAAACATCTCTTGAATCTCAAACTTTTAAATCTTACGAACACAATAATAATAATTATTATTATTATTATAGAAATAATAATAATAATAATAATAATAATAATAATAATAATAATAATAATAATAATAATAATAATTGATCTGTAGACTTTACCTTCTTTGTACCTCTATAAATATTGTACAGACAAATTTTGTCTTGGGCAATAACCCCCACATCTTTTGTATTAAAAAAAAGGATAAATACAAATAACAGAGAGAGAACAGAAAGCAAAAATTCTTTTAAATGTAAATATCATATCAGCAACCAACACTTGGTAATGCCTGTGGCTGTCTATGAATTTGGAGTTCTTCATCGGAAAAGAATTTCACTGCAGTAGCTTAATGTCACTCTAACCAAATACCGCATGAACATATCTCAACAGTTCAATGACACGGTCACACCTTCTTAGGAATGAAGGGGTTTAGGTATTCTAGATTTTGAGACATTGTGCGCGAAACAAACCAACAATCCTAGAAAAAAAACTCCTTCAAAAAATGACGGCTGTACATAAGGCAATTTGTGCCACGGTCAATAATTTTTCGTCTCTGAATCTCAACCAAGCGTCAGCAAAGAAGATTGGTCGAGAAAATGTACCCAGAAGTGTTTACAAGGCAGGTTTCCAAATGAGATCAAATGGAACGCCGTGAAAAGGCATCGTCAGTCTCGTAACTTGAAAACTCGAACTCGTAAACTTTTTGAAATTATTGAGAATGTATTGAAAGAACTTAATGAAACTGAAGCAGAAAGCATTCTTGAAGCGAAAAATGCTATATGTAGAGATGGGATAAATGAGAACTTGATTTATATTAAGACACATTTCAACTGCATTTCCATAGCCATCACAGCGCTAGAAAAAATTGACATGCCACTTGGCACAAATACAAATTTAATAGAAAGACTTACTAGAGCTTAAATCTGCGCCAAGAAAAATTGCAAAGGTTGTAGTAGAAAAATTTAACTACGCACTAGAAAAAAATCAGTTACCGTACATTACAACATATTGCCGATATCATGTCCGATAAAAAGCAGAGCAAATTGTCAGGTATTGAAGAAACATTGCCGCTGGAAGAAGTAGCAAACTTTAAATATGCACCAATAACATCTGTGGTAGCTGAACGTTAATTTTTCGCAGTACATATCAATTTCAAGCAACAGAGAATCGTGTCTGTTTTGAAACCTTAAAATGATGATTACCGGGAGAGGTGGCTCAGATGAACTGATGACACTAGGGTCTCTGGCCGAGAGGTCCTAGGTTCGAGTCCCGACAGTGGCAAGATCTTTGACACTAGCTTGTCAGCTAGGTAAAATCCAGTCGCTATCTAGAGGAGAATTCTAGAGGCCAGCTGCTCTGATCTGTAGTGGTCTGTGGTTTATCCGATCAACACCAGGCGGATGACGGAGCAGTGCCCTCACAAACGGGTTACGGGCCACGCGCGATCTTTCTTTCCTCTTCCAAGTCCTGTCATCACCCCTTACACACACTTACACTAACATGCACTTCACTATCACACATGCCGGGCGCCCGGACGGGATCTTGGAGCTTGTCCCGGCTGGAGCGGTGTCCCGCAGGTGGAAGATACCTGGTTAGGGGAAACCCCGCTAGCCGACGGTAGATCATCGCCGTCCAGTGGGGGAAGATCATCGCCACCTCCCGAGGGGGGGGAAACATGCACTATACTTACGGGACTAATGACCTCTTTGGTTGAAGCGCCGGGAATCACTAACAATCAACCTTAAAATGATTGTTATTCACTGTATTGGTAAAATTAAGTAACCTTCAGCAACAGTTCTAGTATACAATTCATATAAGTTTTGTCATAATTTGCATTGTTTTGGTAGACTATATGTTACTTTGATCTTCAGTGATAAATATAACGGATGAAAAGAACAAATTATGATAATTTCATCATTTATATGAGGTTTTGTAGAGTAGATATTTTTTGCGTTGTTAATGCATATAAACCTATTTTAAATCTCATAATTTTACACAAAAAATAAAAATAATAACATTTTACATTTTTAATGTATAACTATCCGAGTCCCAGTCATTTATAAGCATTACTGAAGAAAATAGGCTGTCTATATAATACAGAATAGTTCTGAATAGTACAGAGAAAAATACAAAGTACACAACACAAAACATGGATTTGAACGTATACTTAGTCATTATTGTTAGATCTCTAACAAAAAAATAAGCAAAAAGAAAATTTGCATAACGCCTAGTCTCGAGTGATACATAATTCGAGATGGTTGAAAATCCCCATCCATGACACTTCCATCCGTGCACAGGTCGCAGCGCCTCGAATCCCTGTCAAGGGGCGTACCAGGCGCGAATCTGCTTCCTTGCCTTCCGCTTGTGAGGCGAGGGCGTCCACTGCGTTGCCACGGTAGGACTTCCTACCAGCCTGCGCTTCCACCGCCTACGCCCCTACGCCTCTCGTGGCCTCACGCCCCGCGCGTCGCCTGAGAGAGCGGGCGTCCGTCGCGACGCCATGGACTGAGTCGCATGCAATGGCCTAGCGCTCGCCGACACTCCACAGAGGAAGAAGCACTGTGCTGCAGCCGCTACGCCTGTCGGGAGGACCCGCTTCCAGAAGGAACATATGTCTCCAGGGGAACATAGCGAACTCATACGTGATTTCATTTTCTGTGTCTCAGCATTTTATTAAGATATTAATGCAGGTGTTTCGGCGTTATGACTCTTGCATAATTGCTGCATTTTGGGGTTGGAAATTTCCATGTTTTAAGTCTGTGCTTTCAAAATTTAATATTTTTGGTACATCCATACGTATACACTAAAAAGCAACTTGAACCATATTTTCTTACGGAAGTCTTTGTTATTAAGATACACATGACTACAAGTGATTTAAAGTACATCAGTTTTACATCTCCCATGTAGTACAATAATTCATTGTTTTGTCAATTTATTATCTTATCAAAAGAACAAAAATAAAAACATAAAATACGTGAGTACCATTCTGATAGTGAGTTATTTTGTTCAGTGTTCCAAAATATGTTTGTAACTTTTATAGAGATGACGAAATCAAAATAAGTGATACTTTCACAAGGAAATGTTGACTGCCGAAAGAGCTATGAAATACATCGGGAACAAATGAATTCGACGCTATACTTTTTCGGCCAAGTTCACAATTCCGCATTTTATGGCCTTCGCAAACAGTGTTGTATCAGACTGACGAGAAAAGACCATTTAAGAGATGTCAATATTCTTGAGTACAAAAATTGTCATCGCAATGCGTCGGGATAACTCGAAAGAATTATAAAAATCTTCGAGGAAGATTTATGCGGGAATTAACTTCAAGCACGTTTGCCGAGGACTTTGGCGAGTCATCTATTAAAAATTTAATGGTGATGTTCTGGTAATAAAACGTGGAACTGGTATTTGCAAAATACCGTTCGTCATGGTTCCTTTCCGATATTAAATGTGTAATAACGAAAACGGAAAAAATATTGTATTTAAATCTTTGGTACACAAAGTATTAAACGGTACAAAATTATAATAATTATGAAATTTACATATTTTTAATTTAATATGTAATAAATACTCAGAAAAAATAAGAATCGGATATTACGTACATTTAAAATATCAGGAAAAATAACTATGAAGTGCACATACGAAAAAATATTTTCAAAAAATGATTAATCATAACTGTTATCTTGAATAGACAAATTTAAATAAAACCGGTATTAATTCTTAATATACTATAAAAAGTCAAATTTGAAGATTTTCTTCAATAATAAAGTATTCTTACAAGAACAAAAGTTACGATTGTGAATCAAATTTGTTAGACAAATCCCAGCGTCACCACCCAGCGGCCAGAATTGGGAAGGCAGTAGGATAGGGGTAGGATTTGGACACTTCACAGGGGTTGAGTTAGTCCTTGTGAAGCAGCCAAACTCGTTTTGTTAAAATAAATTTCACAATAAATTTCACCGACATGATATTGTCCGGGAATCGAACCCTAACCTCCATGGTGAATGGCGAGCGACTTCGCTCTTAGCCATTAGCCAGCCATTTTAATTTGTAGATTATTATTCTATTTTTCTTTTTAAAGTTATACATTGAAATGCACATTTTGTTTTTAAATATTCATTATGTAAACAATGGCATTTAAAAGTTATATTTATTTCACATTGTTACATATGTGTTACATGTTCAATGTTTTAGAAATCATTTCTGTCCATATTCAGAAAATGTAAGGAATACGTATTTTTATTAAATTTTATATATAGGCATAGTAATAAAATAATTTGTCTCTTTTGATACAATTTCTGTTACAATATCAATTTCCAAATAATGAAGTACACAATAAAAAAATGTAATAAAGTAACTAAATAAAAGCAGAGAAACTCATCTGGAAAATGAATGAAATACTTAAATTTAATATAATTGTTTTTTAATGAAACATGTTAGATGTGTATATGGTGCATTTCAGCCATAAATGAGGAAATTTTATGCCATTTAGGCAAGGGTACAAATAGCAAGCATCCATGCTGAAATACCAGTAGTGAGTGAAGACAGATGCAGAAACTAAAAGGGAGGAGAGAGGTGTTACGAGTTCAACAAAGTAATCATTGGAAAAAACAATTAGTCATAGAAAAATTAGAGGCAGATAAAGAACAGTCACTATTTTTTTTAACAAAACTTATTTATATCTTTTCACATTTAAAATCTATTTTGTGAAATAAATCTAACCCATGTCAAGATAGTGAATTTTGCTCTTTGATTGGTAAATTTGCCTACCATATATGTTCCTTCATTCTGTTTTTTCATTTTCATTTGGTGTGCACTACATATGCTAATTTACAATCCCTGCAGTAAATTTTAAATACTATATTTTCATTATCTTCATATTTTAAAGTACTTTTTGCATTCTTAATTGAGTTCAATTTATTGAGAAAAATGTTTCTAATACTTGTATTTTGATTGCATTGAAGTAACATTTTTTAAAATTTGTTTATTATTTAAGAAACATTTGGCAAAACTATATTCTCAGAAAGTTCTTTGGGCTCATTGTTGCTATTATCTGGTGGGGTTAATCTCTTTGATGTGGCTCTTTTTATGAAATCTAAGTTTATGGTGAATGTGACAGTTAACACATTTTTTTGTTGCCTAAATTCATAATTGGTTTCAATCATTTTAATGAAAATAAGCTTTCATTAGTTTACTTTATTGCTTTATCCTTTTACCTTGCACTTTGTTCTTTGGAAATTGATATACAAACAGAAATTGAATCAAAGGAGTAAGAAATTATCTTACTATTATATATAAAATTTAGTATAGATATGTTCTATACTTACCTTCCTGTTACAGTTCCTGAAGATGGAAACAAATGAATTCTGAAATGTCCTACAAGTAACAGATATGTAACAATGTAAAATAAATATAACTTTTAAACATGGTTGTCTATAATTTAAAAAAGTAAGATTCAAGAATAATATAAAGATCTGTTTCAAATTAGAGCGACTGTGACATCACCCATATTGATCAGGAAAATGGACAGACAGTAAACATCTAGAGGAAAATAACTTTTTCTGTATCAAGGACTCACAAAACTTTGATTTTGACTATTCTATTTATTCGTGTAATTTAGGCTATTACCTTATGATCAGAAGTAAGAAAAGTCCAGTTTTTCACCAACAGGAACTTACAGTATGTGTTCTTATTTCAAAATATTGGTACTATTTCCTGTAGCATTACTTAACATTCTCTTTCTATATAGCAGATACGAGAAATTAAAATTGTCATATCCACGAGTGGAATTCACCAAACTGACTAGCACTACTAATGGCAACACAATGCAATCCGTAGATCATGTTTTTCATAAATTTTTGAATGACCCAAATAAAATGGTTTATCCTTTAACAAAACCTTGCATTAAAACACAGGATCCTAATTAAAGGGATATTCATAGTTGTCTCCAATATAACAATGATTGGTATCAAAAGTACCTACCAAGAAACTAAACTACGTAGATGATTTAAAATCTTTGCCAATTTGCCTGATATAATAGTAATAGATGAAGTTAAAAGCATTTTTATTCCCAAAACTTCACAATGAAAGCTTAAAAAGTCCTTTGACTAGTGGAACTTCAGACTCTATAATGCCTTGTGCCAGTTTTATACTATTTTTAGGAACCCAAAAGCAGAAAATCTAAAAGTAAAAAGGTAAAAAGTAAATACATATGTTTATGTAGGTATTTTATTATCCACTAAAACTAATTTGTGATAGATATTTAATTATAAATTTTCATTATGAAATGATGAAAAAGAAACGAGTTAAATAGCCTACTTGAAGTAGTTACTTTATTATTTTTCCTATGTTTTGTACAATAAAATTTTAAAATTATATAGTTTATAATGTACATAGACTACTTAGATATATACTTGGTTTGTTTATGTGAATAAGACTTATATTTAATGCTGTAATATTGTATAGTTTTTAAATATGTAATCACTTTTTACTTGATGATGATTACACTTTACAATGTAATCTTACTACATTTATTCATTAGTTTATTATTCTCTAATGCTTTAAATAAGGCCTACTGATCAGAATTTAGCTAACAGATGAGAATGTCAATGAATTACTAACTTCCAGTCTTTGCAACACCTTGGAAGATGACTAGTCATCTCTGATAATAAGAAGCCACTTTGACACCAGTACACCACTTATCTATGTGAGTCCCCCTTGATGCAAAGCATCAGCCATTTTATCAAAACATTTCTGCATAATGTTTAAATAACAATAATTCTTAGTGTGTCCAAGAAGGAATATCAAGTGGTATTTTCATAAAATGACTTGTACATGTCTGGCAAATCTGTGCCAGACATTTTCAAATTTCACACATAACACAAAACATAAGTAAATTCCTTCCATTCCAAGAAGTTTCTCTGATAATGATGGCAAGAAAGTATTCATAAATTTATATTGCTTACCCTGGAAATTTTTTTGGCAGTTACTAGCTTTCCCAAGTCAAAACCTCAATTTTTAGCTCAAGGATATGGAGATCGTTAATTCTCATACCTACTTAAGAAAGTACCTTTCTACCAACAAAATTTAGATTTTTGCCACATGGCAAATTGCTTACTAACTCAGTACAGTTACAGGAGATACCATCACATTCCTCAGGTTAATTCATATTCCTACTTTCAAAGCTGGTGAGGTGATATAGTCAACATTAAAACTGTTTGACAATGGAATTGTATATATAAATACATGAAAACTTCTGTGATACAAATGGTAGGAACTCTAACTTTCACATACTACTCCAATCTTTATAGTTCATCTTTGAATGAATTGAGTACTAACTTTGTGTGTTCATTTGATACTTTTGCAATTGCCATTTTGCAATTGTGTAACCCACTGTTGGTTGATGGGTGAGTGCCTCAAAGTTTTAACAACAATGAATTTAAGGGTCTCCAGCTAGCTTCCTAGAAATTATTTGGAAGTACAATATTGAATTTTTGCAAGCGTCTGTACCTTCAGCTGTCTGCTATCCAGTTTCTTTTCTGCTGCATAAAAGTGAATGTGAAATGTTAATTATATGGGAAGGGGGGATGCTGTTCTTATCTTTGATAACATAAAGTTAATAAATGTTACTAAAGTGACTTATGCAGAGCTCTTATTACTGGAAGCAATGATGGCAAAATGTTGATGAAGAAATGAATTCAAATTCTTATAATGTCTTCCCTAAATTTAGAGGTCATTTTAAACAAGAATATTGCAGATAAAAATAATGAAATTAAAAGCTTTGGTTTAAATAACAGAAAATACAAATATTATCTTGACAGATATTCAAACTGAAGAGAGACTCAAACACATCGTGAACTGCAGGCATGTAAGTATGATTCTGATCTTGTTTGTGCTGATTTAGTAGGCCTAGTAGATTAATTTTGTTTTTTCCATCTCCTGATTTTTCCATCTCTTTACCTGTCTTTCAATGTCTCTATTTCCAATTGGTTTATATTTCCAGATGAGTTTTGGTAGTGTGTTACTCTCCATCCTGCGAATGTGTTCTTTCTATCTCTTTTGTGATTCTTTAACCTTTTCTTTTAGATTTTTAGTTTTTAGTTTTCTTCTGATGTCCTTGTTTTTCAACATGTCTTTTCTCTTGACTCCTAAGAGGTGCCTTAGGTATGTCATTTGTGCTTCCTGTATTTTCTGCTTGTTGTTTTCCTTCTTGATTCTGAACCAGACTCATACACTTTCTTGATAAATACAGAAATATCAACATTATCCTAAAAAGATTGGCCAGGCTAAAAGGATTGATCCTTTCGACCATCTTTTGAGAGAAAAAAATAAATTGAACTTACCAATATTCAGTTAAAAATAAAATTTAGATATTCAAACATATTTAACATTTTCAACATGTTCCTAAATACTTCTTGAGAATCCATTGATGAGCAAATCTTGGTGGCAAGATTTTAGCACCTCAAAGTTAGTCAAATTTCATGTGTTTAAACATTTATACATAAGGGTCGTTATGCTTATGGTTAAGAATGCTTAAGTGACAAGAACAGCTTATAGCTTCTGTAAGCAGAACAAAGGGACCTTGTTATGATCCCTCCCAGGAGACTTTGTATTAAAAATAATATTAAGTATATATTCATATCAGAATCATTAAGTTCAGTAAATACATCATTGAAGTCAATTTTCATGGCCAGAATTACATTTAAATAGTTGCACATAACTATACTGAAAGGTAGGTAACTACTGAAGATGTATAGGTAAAACTAGTAAATATTCTGCTGGTCTTCACAGCTTTAACTAATGTTCCCACATTAATGACATTTTTTCTTTAATATTAGTACCACTTCTTCATGTTAAATTTTACAAATTTATTATATCTTCAAACAAGATGACATTTCAGGCATTCTTATCCTCAGATAGCATTACTATATTGAGAGAAAATTAAAGGTTGTAATATATTCACTAACACATAGACAAAAGTAATAAAAACAAATATATATGAGAATAAATTAACACAAATAAATAATTATAGCACCAAATAAAAGTAAGACCTCTTCCAAATTAATGTGTAGATATAACAAATTATGAAAAAAACGAATGTGGTATGATACAATGAATGAACAATTTCATATTTCTTCTTTCCATCAGAAAATATTAAATGAAAACGATAACTGAACCATGTTCTATTAAAAATTCTGACCTTAAGGCAGTTCAGTTTTAATTTGGAAATTGTTAGGTTCCATAGACAATCCAATGAAAATGGAGGAAGAGGAAAGAAGGAATTTTAAATAAACAAATAAATAAAACAAAATAACACGTAATATAACACAAACATGGTAACTCCATGTACTAGCCCTAACTTTCAACATTCCATATTCTAATGATAAATTAGTCTAATAATAAACAAGCTTTTTAAGGAGAAAGAATGAAAAGAACAGTGTAACAGTGAATTGCTTGCACTAGCTATTAGGTTTTTGCAATCGTTTTTGAAACTTTCATAAAATGTAATATATTTCCTGAGAACTTCAGTTAATAAGAAATCATGTAATGTGTTTCACAGCCTTATAAATGCTATTTTTCTCTCACAATTTCAACTAATTAATAGAGTTATTTATAGAAAGAGCACAAGTCAATGAAATATTTATGGAAAAATATTTCTTTCGATTAGGGTACTTGAATTATTAAGAAATAGATCAATCAAAACTAGAAAAAGATAAAAGAAACAATAAAGAGTTAGGGGCCCCATTTTCATTTGTTGCTCCAGAATTCCCTAGTCTCTAGTTACAGCCTTGCAAAGATGAGGAATTGCTCTAAGTTTATTTTTTCACCACTTTCAAGATGATCATGTGTGTTTCAGAAATCAAGATAGCATATATTTTCCAGAATAACACTGTACAATCAGCAAAAAACGGAAAATTTGACGTTTTTTCAGTCACGATGAACGTTGTCCTCGGCAAAAGCCAACCTCGAGTCATATGGTCCTCGGAGAATCCCTCCTTAACCGCTGCCCTGCGGGACCGGGTCCCTTAAGCCGTTCCTAACAGTACTCGACCAACCGGGAAAGTTGGTGGCACATTTCCACTGGACCGATTTGAGGAATGGTGTCTTCTTAGCCTAGGTCCTGAACTTTGGTAGACACACGCCACAGCCCGGTGCCAACACGTCTTCCCACTTCCAATGTGTCTCCATATTGCCGCAATCATCTACGGGCAGTAATAGGTAGTACCCGTACCTACGGCCTTCGAGGGAGATTCACACTTTCAACCCACGCCACGTCTCGCTTCTTTACAATCCGATCTAATGCGACACGGTGAAAGAATCAGGGCTAATGACCACGGCGCAGCGAGACACGGCACTGCGAAAGAGGGGAAATGCAAGAGGGGCGGGTTCATTCGTAAGGGAAATGATAAATAAATGGAGATATTTTCTGAAGTTAACAATTAACTCCACGCACATTAGCGTTGTGTAACGGTTATGGCCAGTGTTTTGAAATAACATAGTATTATGTTCAAAATTTTGATTGATAAAAACTATGCTTTGTAATGCATTTTATTTTTACATTTCCGTATACACACGTATATATATATATATATATATATATATATATATATATATATATATATATAGAGAGAGAGAGAGAGAGAGAGAGAGAGAGACAGAGAGAGAGAGAGTAATACTGTAAGGGAAAGTTATGCAATGCTGCGAAAAGTCGATTTTGATATTTCAACGGAAATACACTTTTTGGGGTCCCCTGATTCCGAAAAAGTGTTTTTTTCAAACGCCCGTCCGTCCGTCCGTCTGTCTGGTGTATGTGAACCACACTAGCGCCTAAACCATGCGTAAGATTTTTTCAAATTGAAGAAACCTCTATCCATTTGCCCTGAGTCGATGCCCTGCGAATTTGAAAACCATTCATTAGCTTTTGGGGGTACTTTACATGAAGCTCCTGGGACATTTTCAAAATTTTCTCAAAAATGGCTCTAAATTTTTTCTTTAAATTTCTTGTAATAATAGACTAAAATCACTTATAAACTGGCATAGGTCCGATTTTCACGGTGAAGACTGTTTCTTCGAAAATTTCAAAAGTTTGAATTGTTTTCGGGTTCTTCCTACAACTACAAAATTAAATATAGAGATTAAGTATAGAGAGTATATATATTTCCTTGAAGTGAAATTTGTTGTCGATAATTTATTCTTGCATTAAGATACAAGTTTTTAAATTTTTTTTGTAGTTTTCGCGCAATTTTGCATGCAATTTGTGCAATTTTCAAAAATTATAAAAACAAGTTTTTCTCAAAAACGGCTTCAAATTTTTTCTTCATACGTTTCTAACGAATAGAGCTAATTGCACTGTTTAAGGTGACAGAATTAATTTTGCTGTATTCATTTGCTTTTTCAAAAATTACACAAATGTAATTTTTTGAAATATCTCTTACTCCGTTAACATGAAAATTTCCACCAATTTGCAAACACTATTGTATTTGTGAGAGAAAGTGCTTCAAATGACTTCAAATGAAGTTTTTGGAAAACTTAAAAATTGTTTGTCAAAAGGGGGCTTCAAATTTTGAATTTACAGAAGCGCTTAAGCGCCATTTGCTTAAAAACGGCTCCAAATTTTTTTTCCGACGGTCATGTCACTTTTTTAAGTCATTTTTCAAGAGAAGATTTAGTGTTTTTTGCTATTGTGGTAGTAATAGAAAATTGAAAATTAGAATCATTGCACAATGCAACTTTTGGCAAATTTGTAGCAGAATTTTACATAGAATAGTAAAACGACCTATTTATCGATCTAGTTCATCTGTTTTCAATTACCACCAATTAAAACCCATTAATCGTAGTAGCAGTATGTATATCAAAGGGTTAAAATATACAAATATCTAATAAACATGGGAATTTCTATTATAGATAGTACAGCCGTTAATGCTGCAGAAATGTAAGGTGTAAGCTCTTCGGAGGGCAAGTTCGCTGGTTCGAGTCTTGGCCCGGAACTATTATTCTGTGTTGCCTCAGGAAATAATTGAAAATTCCAGAAAACGTATTGAAAA